GTTAATTGGCTGATATGATTCAGTTGATTAGCGATTTACTTCTATAAAAAGCACGTCATTTTCCGGATTCGCGATTCGCTCCTTGCGACGATTACTATGTCGTTCACCTGCGTCTCACTTCCCCGTAGAGACCACGCAACTTCGCTTTGCTACCAAAAGTAGCCTATCATAACGGTATCTGTTTCGATTTGCTTCTAGAAAAGTGTCATCGACCGGTTTGTAATTTGTTTTCTCTAAAATAAGAAATGGTATCCTACGATAATAATAAAATTCAAATACATAAATCAAGTAACGTCGATTGTTCGCAAAAATACATGGTAATTGAAACGTACACGGAAATTCTTTCGCGAAACATCGTCTACCAACGTTGTTATTGAAACGGTACAGAGTTCGTTCGACGTTATTTAATTGGCGTTGTATTTCGACCAGAAGCATATAAACTAATAAATTGCTGTAACGAGAACTCGTGAATACGGATAAGTTCTGTTAGCTTGCTGGATATTCTCGAATCGTGGCAGCCGGGTACAAAGTGTTCGTTTCTAATTGGCTCGCGTGTTTGTCCCTAGCTGAAACGAATTTACGTTTCGTGTGCTCGTGGAATACGGAGGATGCTCTAGAGAAAGTAGAGGAGTGCACACGAAGAACGTGTAAACGTCGGCCAAATCGTGTGACATTAAAACGAACCGGAAGGTTCTATCGAAATCGATGTTCCAACTTTATTCGTTGTCACTTCTCAACCAACATCCGCTTCTTCCCCTGCCGAAAAGGAGGGAGAAAAATCCAAAGAGCTTCTAAACGATAAAATACATCTATCTCATAATGAGAATGTGCTGGCACCGATGGATACGTGTGTTCGGTATCTTAAACGAGATATTCAACGACCTATCCTTACTAGGAAACAGAAGATTGTTCAAACATGGATAATTTGTAGAGAGAAATTCAGCTGATATATTAACTAGCCATCAACGAGGATGCAACGGTAAAACGAAATAAAAAGGACTCTCTGGAGTGTCACTCGGACGGTTCAAACGTTACGCTCATTGTTGCCGGCGGGGACGAGTATTATCGTTATTACCTCCGCTCGTACCTACCTCGAGTGACATTGGCGGCAGACATTGGTAGACAGGCGGTCGAAGGGAACGAAGAAGTATCGGTTTCAATGGACACCGTGTCGCGGACCGAAAGTGACACGAAGCCGCGAATACCGTAGGAAAGCGCATAGTGGGACCCCCAGAGGACCTCCCGTCGACAGGCTTTCAAGTTTGAAAGTCATACCCCGGTGGTGTGCCTCTCCGTCGACAAGGGGACCGAAAGCGAAACCACTCGAGAGGCAAGAATGGGGCCTCATGGCCATTCTGAATAGAGGCGTGTACAAACCCGGTGTACGAGTCCTCTGTGGATGCCTCTCTGCGAAACCGTTCACCGATCTACCTTTGTGTAAATAAGGCAATAAGGCAAAGGAAGCGGGATTACTTTTCGCTTAAGTCTACAGATCGGATTATGCGAAGAAGGGAGGAAGAGAAAGAGACTGGGATATCGATTCCATTGGGATGTCAAAAATATTTGAATGCGACGCGACGTTTTTCCATGAGCCGAAAAGAGTTGTTAATGTCAGGGAAGCGCTCTTGCAGATTAGTCGAACTGTTGTTTCGAAGGATAAAGGCGTTGGTTAATTTGGAGCCGAAGAAGATGGCTCGTGGTACTTATCTAAAATTTCTCAGAATCAGTGAAAATGAACAAACGTTATCTACATCATCGTCTACATCTGTGTTTATCTTACCGTAAACTAATGTTGAAATTAACGAAGCCTGTGAAAAATTGGGTCGGTTAAATAAAAATACATAGTAGAAACTGGGAAAAGGAAAACTTGGAAGAGGAATGCTAAAAACCACGGAAATAAAAAAAGATTCGAACTTAAAGAGCAACAATCTGCCAACTTCCGTGAGCAATTCGTCCCCTTCGTGGAAGGCCGAGTCCTCGAGTATCATTCTCATAATAAACCCCGAAAATCACGCCCCTGACAGGCCGTGCGACCGCAAAAAGCAAGTTCGGAAGAGTCCTGACCGGGTACAAATGGGAGGGTACGTCGGTTCATCGTAACTCATGGGGCTGGTCCTGGTGTGACGAGACCGTGGCTCTATGATGGGCATCGCATGCGGAACCTTACTACACGCGTGTTCTCTGAAGCGTTAGGTGTTAGGTATAGAGGCAGCACCTACGGCTTGCAGGTATTACGTTACAATGCCATTATGTAACTCCCATACGCCACCATTGTGGGGCCCGTTGTGACGTATGGTTAACCACCAACCATAACCAACCAAATGTTCGCACGTCCCAACCGTGTACGAATCTGGTATATATATATACATGTCGGTGTGGAAGAATCGACAATATACCGTAGGCAGAAGATAGAACTGATCTTTGAGGGACAAAAGAGGGATGACTCCTGGGGTATAATTAGCGGCGTGAAGTTTGTAATTGCGAGAAAATAGGTTTCGGTATCGTGGTTTCCTTGTTTATAGCATTACAAAGACGCCGTTTCTTCTTTCGATCAGATTAGGCTAGCCGTGGAAATTTACTTGCAAATATCGATAAACCATAAGAGATGCTAGATGCATGAAAATAACAATAGGCTTGATTCTCAGTCTGAAAGGTATGAGAATCTTTTTACGTTTGAGGGATTCGTATTATCTCGATACTCTAGTAAAAACACGTAATAAAGGTACGTTAAACGTCGGTAGTTTTAGAGATGAAATTCGCCAACCGTTAAAGTTAGCTCGCTAAAAGCCGAATCCCGTGGCTCTCGTGGCTTTGAACCGCCGCGTTCATGTCCGGCTGCGAGATTCGCAAGCTTTTTGATATCGAAAGGCATATATTAGACTAATGGCCGAAAGGAGTCTAATCCTCCGTTTTACGATCCCGCCTCACATGCAACCGCGGCTCGTTATTGTCACCTATAACTCTCTCTGCCGGGCCAACCTCTGAGTTGTGGGTGTAGAAGTCGCGACACACGAGAGAACCAGTCGAAACGCGAGTAATATTTTAGAGGCGGATTTATTACGACGGAAGAAAAGGCCCGAAGCTGGAAGATTAACGAGAGGGCCGCGATCGAGTTTATGTTTAGCACGAATTTCTAATGTTGCTAAAACGCGTGGGTTAGGCACTAGGAGGCTACTTTGGCCATTGTCTTCTACACGGGAACCGACTGCGTGCAAACTGGACAAATTGCTAGAAAGACCAATGGTTGCAATTATTAATAGACAGGTCGTGGTAGCTGAGAATGGCTAGGATCGAAAGGATATTCCTATTAGAAGACTGAAAAATTCATATTCGTTTCGCTAAATTCTCTAAAAGCTACCAACGCATGACACAATATGGCTAGCTCAGATCCAAAGGGTATTCCTATTAGGAGACTGAAAAATCCATATTCGTTTTGCTAAATTCTCCAGAAGCTTCCAACGTATGAGACAATGTGGCGTGTTGACCGACTCGCGAATAAGGATTCCAATTTTAGAATCCATTAATAACCGATCCATTACACTTTCTAGTTACCTAGATCATCCCTGCATCGTTCATTTCTCCCAACGATCCACGCTTCCCAATCGATTGCCACTCTTTCGATCACTCGAGCAAGTTTTTCCCAAACACTTGCAAGTAACCCCTCTTGATCTTCCCTCGCGGAAGTTTATTTACCCGGCACGCCCCGCTCGTTCGGAAATCATTTAGCTTGTAACGTTTTGTACCTCGATCGAAGCGTGAATCCGACACGAGTCGTGGTAACAAGACCGTCGACACAATGCCGGAGACGTTCGGAGGCGGCTGGACGCCACGGTTGCCCATTTAAGCGTCCCATTGGAGCACGCCAACCCCCATGGAGGCCTGGTTCAGGGGGATGCTACGGGGTGGGCCGGCCACATATATTACACCGGTGGTGGTTGCAGACCAGACCACGGGACTTGCGTGTACGACACAAAGCCGACTCCGTACACGCGGGCATGCGTGTCGCTATATTGAAAGGGAACGTCGACTTCGAGCCGAGGGTTCTCGAACCCTGGTACTACCTTCCTGACGCTGGAGATCCGTGGTTATGTTGCCAACGTGTAACGCTTCCCGGCAGGGTGCCCTTTTCGCTTGACCAGCTGCCTACCGGATCGCTCGTCGCGCCTCGAGTCTGTAAACTTTGAATTAGCGACGACTTGGATGATCGGTCTCCGGAGATCGCGCACGAGGCCGTTGTTGGCGGAATGTGAGAAAGCTTGATGGATGCAGCGGTCGAATGGATTTTAAGGGCTGGATCCGACGAGGGTGAGTGAGTAGTGTACAAAGGATACGGATATTTTCGTGGGTTTGATGGAAATAGTAGGCTGCTTCCAAATTTCATATTTTGTCACGTGTTTCTCAGATTAGTTAGACCGAATATCACTTTCAAGGTTGCTTCGCGTCCATACTCTTTTAGACTTTACGGAATCTTTCGCCGCTCAAAGTACCTTCTCTGTAATTAAATAGAACAGTCAACTGGTCCGATGCTCGAATAGAATCGTGAATTAATTCACAGCTAGATATCCCGGTACTACGGTATTTGGAAAGGTAGGAAAGGTGGCGCGAATAGCAAGCATAGCAAACTGTATCGGAACAGATTGATCGAAACAGACGCATCCATCAAGCGTGCCGCAGCCTTCGTGTCAAGAACATCCGATAGTTTGCTAGCTGGATTCTGTATGGGATAGGGTAACACAATACCGTCCATGGAAAAGTTAACAGGGGAACGTTGATTTCGTTACGATATTACGATCTTTTTCACACGTGACGAACAACCGTGCGAAGTCGAGCTGAACCCTGTGCGAGAGGTAAAGACGATACTCCTGACACCATTTCGTTTGGTGGCTTGTATTTGCTAAATCGTGGATGAAAATTTCCAACGACTACCTAATCAGCCTAAGTATGTAATTGTAGAAAGCATGGTGTCCGTTTTGAAGCCGACTTCCTAAATCACGTTACAGACGGAGGTGGAAGACATGACGAGCGACAGTGTCTGCGAGGGCACCGGTCCGAATCTCGCTGCAGCCGAGGGTACCGGCGGTCTGATAGGACCGGATATGTCGCCGAGTGTGATGGAGTGCGGCGGATGCGGAGAACGCGTCCGCGAGCGGACCGTTCTATGCGTCGGCGGTCGAACTTGGCACTCGAGGTGCCTGAGGTGCTGCGCCTGTGCCAGGCCGCTACACGATCAACACTCCTGCTTCTTGAAGGGCATGAGACTCTACTGCAGGCACGACTACGCTCTGTAAGTGATAAATAAATTTCTATTGTTAGTATGGGAGTGCCCCACTATGCGAGGCTGGGTTCTTTGTCTAACTTCGCCAAGGGAGCTTTTGCATAAGTAGCGGAAAAATACCGTGATCTATGTACGTGTATCGCGATTGAGAAATCTGCAAGCACGGAAAGACATGTCATTTGTTGACCATTTTTAGATAAATTTTGCTTTCACTCGTAATATTCTGTTACAGTTAATCCCCGCTCTGGTTCCAGGACTAGCATAATTTCTAGAGTTTAATTTATTTTTATTCCTTCATTTGCATATTGTGGTAAATGAGGGGCACGAGGAATTGTGGTAGTTAATAATGTTTATTAATATTAAGATTTATTTAAACGCTGTTAGTGTCGTTTAATTGAAATAAATTGCCGCTGATAAATTAGAATCGTGACATATGGCTTAAAGCAATATGTATATTTATGAGTATTCGCTGCAAGATGAACGAGGATGTTCTTGGTTACCTTTTCACGCTGATATTTGGAGTTTGCTCAGGTTCGTGACAAATCCATTCGAATAACGCGTTTATGGAGCTAATCTCGTTTCCTTGTCGGATTAACCCGTATACTAATTAGTTAAAATTTTCGAAAGGAAGCACGGTAGAACGAAGTAGAGCGTTGACAGGTTGGAAATAAATTCCAGTGACGCTAAGCAGCGTTCGATATGTGGCATATGAAAAATTCTCTGCACGTTCGACCAGGAAGAAATTAAAAACGCGGTCGGCTACAGATGGAATAATAAAGATATCGAATTTTATCGTGGAAATTACAGCGGGTTAATGTGTTAGCTACCGTAGAAGCATAACGGCATGCCGCGAAACATAAATCCAGACCTACAGAACGCGTAATTGCCACCGTGTCGTCAAAGATCTACGTTTTCTTGTAGCCGCAATTTAACGATCGAGAGAGATTCAATTATTGCGATAACGCACGGCGAGAAAGTAAACGCGGCTGTTATGTGTAATATTCAAATGCGTGTTGATCTATCAGTAGAATAATAAAGCGTGGTAAAAGAGTGGTGTGCCATGTTTGCATTATCAGTGCAATAAATAACAATTCGTTCAATACGTATTCGTTGACACTGGAAACCTCTTAATCTGCACCAACGAACCACAGTTTTGCCTCGCGACAATCCGTAAATGACTTTTCGACCGATCGATAGGCGAGTGTAAATTAACGTCAACATTTCTATAAATCGACGCTTCGAAGTATTCGATTGTGCGCGGATTAAGTCCTTTCCGCTAAATTCTCCGTGCAATCGAATATTTATAAATTCGAGAATATTTCTTATTTCGCTTCTCGAAATTCTCCTGAAAAATTTAACGTTGAATATTAAATCGTGTATCGTTTTTATTTGACGAACTTTGCAAACTTGCTGACAGATCTCAGTGACACGATAATTCTGGATCCCTTTGTTAAAGATTTTCTCGTTTCAACTTATATTTTAATTGAAATTTATCAGTGAAAATAAAATGTTGCCATGTTAACCTACCAATCGGATTAACTAAAATTTTCCTTCTTTTCGTTTTGTGGTGCCATAAGAAGACAGAACTTGTCTCAGAAGTTGACAACTTGTTGACACCTTCGTACACTATAGGAAGATATATCGTTTTCTTTAATTCCTATCGTGGACACGCTTCATCTATGTTCGACGTGGTACCTATCCGCAATTACAGAAATCGAATTAGATCCATTATTTACTTAAACATCGTAGAGATACATTCCTCGACACACGTTTCCTTGTAGCGGAATTCGATAATGGCCCCTTCGGAGCGGTTTGTTTCGAATATTTTCGTAGGAAGGCCAGGGGAGCATAGGGAAACGATCGAGACGAAAGAAGCTCGCAGTGACTGGCCGATTGTACGCGAAGAATTCGAGTCGAACACTTTCCAACGTGTTTATCCAACTGTCAATCAATGTTGGTTCGGTCACCTGGCTGTTGCACCGGCCCGTCTAAACCACGTATCGTGATATCCGATCGAGACGCGCGACCGGTATCGCTGTCTATATTATCGAACGCGGAAATCAATGTAATCCCGAGAAGAAAGGGAATAAAAAAGGAAGAAAAGAAGACAGTGAATTCAACGCGAATTCATTCTACGTTATCCTACGGTACTACCGTACGCCGATTTCATTCCATTTCCAATCGAGTGCGTTCGTACTACTGCCTACTACTGAATTTGTCGAATCGAGAGAGTTTCGTCACGTATACCTGGTGTATTTAAATTTACAGCTTCTTCTCATTATCCTAAACGCGTCTGCTCTTCTACGATGAAATTATGCCGTCATAATATCGAAGATCTTTTTAATCTTCCTTCAGACCAGACCAGTTGTCCGATAAGAGTAGTGACCTATCTAGAGAAGCGATACTATGAGTAAGACATAGGAAATCAGATAATACTTGTAGCACAATTATTCCACAAAATTGGATCTTTGCCAGTACTGAAAGTTAATCAAAAATCGTTTGCAAATATTAAAGTGACACGACGAACTCGATTATGTTTCAATCGATCATTTATCAGTCGTCAATCTAATGTAGAAATAATATAAAATATCTAAAAGTTGCGTATTACGTCAAACGCGTTCCTCGAACTTCTCAGGACAATCGGGAATAATTATTCGTAAGAGGCGAATAGGCACGAGAGAATCTTTACGAATATTTACCCCGAGGTGTTAGAAATGCAACGAAAGTAAAGAGTTTCGCAATGGAGTGTCGGCATTCTCTGTGAAGGCAGTTGCTGGATTTTTTCGTGGCGTGTCTGTCTTTTTGAGGGTCAAAGTCGCGTGTATGCGGGAGGTCCTGAGGAATCTGCCGCGTAATTTTTTCGACTGACGGTTTTCGCCTCGTAATGCTGCCTTACGATGACCCGGTCGACAGGATCCACGACCCGTAGACACGTCGACAAGCGACTCGGAAAGAAACGAAGCCACTATTTCGATTTACGCTCGGCTCGCCGTGATAAATGATCGAAAACTATACCGTGGCTCGACCGAAGCGGCAGACAAGAATCGAGGACACCGGTCTACGAATCCTTTCCTCCGATTCATGATTGAATCGTTGATACAATGTGACCTAATTAATACTCCATTGATGCTTGGTATTTCGGACCAAAGTACTATCGAGTTGCTATCGAGTACTAGGTTTTATGGAAAATTACATTGGAGACTGTTGTAATTTCTCAAATGAAATTGCAGCGTTAATTAAAATTCGTAGAGGACCATCCGTATACGATTGTACAGCAACGAAATTTATAAGGTTTGTCATCAGTGAAAGATACAAATATGCTTATGCAGATATATGCGTGTTCTTGTGAGTTACGATAAAGGTCCTTGCTACTGCACCGTGTTTAAGACTGCTCTGACCAAATCTTCCATAGGATGAACTTCTTTTTATATAAGCACAGTTTGCGTAGTAGTTTTTAGATTTATGTAGTAACGTTAAAGAGATTCAAATTACACCGAGATAATAGAATTTAATCTTCCACGAGTCGAAAACAATGAGATTCATAATTTCGTAAGAAGCTTCTCTCAGGGATTAATTTCCGTTGTTTTCGGCTCGAATGCATCTTGCGAGCTCTTTTGGGATAGGATCTACATCGGTTATGATAAAAGAAACTGACAATCGCTCGCTCAAAATTCAAATCCCTTCCTAGAGATCGGCGTGGGCGAGACGAGAAAGTTGCTCTTGCAACCACCATGAATTAGTACTTCGCTAAGAGACAATAGGATTAAAGTGCATTCTTTTTCTCGTCGCCGCCTATCCGCGCGAGATTCAGAGTTTACGATTGTGCATTACAAATGTACATTATTCTTCTTTCATATTATATCGCATAACTATGCGTGATGTTACATTATATGACTGTGATCGTGAAAAATTAAAGACGGGCGTTTTAATTCGAGTAATTGACGTTACAATAGCGATTTGTATTCAATAGCTCATAGTTCACACCTCCGAATACTTGCACGCTTAAAGTTCAGGAAAAATATCAAGATTTCATCCTCGACGATTGGATATATTTTCGCGAATGAACATCGATATCGTATCGATCAAGCTATTTAGACCTGACAGACTATAGCAAAGACTATCCGTGGATTAGAAATCACGGTTTGGTGTCGAAACCGCATCGCGAATTGTATTAGACGAGTTTCATATTATCGGAAGAAATTGAACTGGCAGATAGCGCATTCTCCCCGGTACACCACCGATCTCTACACCACTATCGCCTGCCGAGTCTCGGAGTTACACAGCTTCTCGATATCTCATACGAAACAATCAACTCCATTAGCAGAGCCGGTCGGAAGCAAATATCTGCTCGCTCTCACCGAGGATCGTCCTCTTAATCCCGCGAGCGCGGTTGTCGCGGGACAGAAGCGGGCGAAACACGAGCGGCGCGCATAGTCGTGGATCTAGCGCGTCCGGTAGAGTAGTCCGTACTTTCTCTCGTTCGAATGGGGCGGTGGGGCCACCGGGGTAGTCGCGTGGCCCCATAAGATATCTTCGCGAGGGGCACGGCGGGGTGACGGGATCCGCGAACACAGACCGTATAAACAGCTAGCTCGGATCGTTGCCAGAGGAACCGGACGAGGAATCGGGATGCACTTTCCGTGTTCATGAATATGATAATGGGCTAATGGCCGCTAGTCGTTGTTTAATTACCGGTCGCCGCGCACACTACCGACCGCACTACCGACCACACCGGACACACGGCCGTGAAGAAGCCACCGTCGTGCTGCTTGTCGTTAACCGAGGACGCTCCTTCGGGCTGTTGCTCACGGTGCACCCATAACACCCACCTTTCCAGCCATTCATCTGGCCGTGCGTGCGTGTGTCTTGTAGCATGCTCGTGTCTTGCCGCTACACGGCTACCGTTTACACCGGCCTAGCTCCCAGCCAGAGACTTTTTCACGGAACCTCGGTCACAGTTGAGACGGGTGCACCAAGGGGGCGAGAAGTTCTCGCGAGAGCTCGCGAGAGCTTCAAGTCGATGTCGTTCGTCCTGGGGAACGAAGAAAACGAGCAACAGGGGGAGTGTGAGGATTTCGTTGTCGACACTGGTGCAGTTTCGATGTAGTCGAACCTAGGTCGAGCTGGTATGGCGTAGAGATCGAAAGTATCGGGGGATGGGAGAATCGGTTAGGGTGACCAAGTTTAATTAGAGTAACGGAGGGTTTCAGGTGCATCTCGATGGAAGTAGCTGGCTGAATTTAACGTAGTCGCTTTTATACTTGAAAAGTACTTGGACAGTGGTTGGTTCTAGTTGGATTTACTCGAGCCAACGATCGGTCCTTCCAAACACATACTCATACAGCGTTTGGTCGTTTTACGTAATTTTTAAGCGCGATTCGAGTGGTTTGTCGTAATAGAAGAATCACGTGAAAGAGGATAAGAGACGAGAGATTGACGACAATAGTCTTCGTGTCGCTTCCTCTGAAACTGTCGTAAGCAGAACTAGTGGGAGTAAAAGAGGAAACAAGTAGCCGAGAAACATACGCCATAGGAGATTGCTTTCCAAGATGAGAGAGCCGAGAGAAACTTCTCTCCTCTCGACTTTCTTCTGTTCCTTTGAGCCTTCCTTCGGAAGGCGCTTTCTAATGGAACTTTATACTTTTCTCTCATTTTTTTACCTTTTTTCATTTTCTTTCTTATTTACTCGCCTTTCACTGGCAACTATTTGTTTTCAACTTCTATATTACCCCATTTCTCTTGTTTCTTTCGCACGTTTCGCTTTCGAATACGTATTTTCGAAAATAAGAATTAATTACCACGTTATTACGCGTAACTTGCGTAATAAACTCAGAGCTGGAACTGTAATTTCAAAGTATGCCATAAAAAGTTGCATTCCACCTGGCAGATTTTATTGCCAATAATTCTTATTGCAAGTTCATTAAATTTTCTTTCGGCGAATACCTATACCTACGTGCTTCCTGTTCAATGCGCGTAAATTTCAGATTTTTACGTTCTTTTAAATTTTAAACGTAGTATTCCAAATACCCCTATTTCATTCCTACTCCTCCTCCTTTGCTTATTTACTTCGAACTTCTCTATTCGTTTAATTATACCCTCTCCCACCCCTCTTTCAATAGTCTTACCTTTCCTTCCGTTCTCTGTATCTTCCCCCACTTCCTATTTCCATTACGTTTCTAATATCAATAAGTTTTATGCAACACGACAAACTCCACCCCTTTCTCTTCTATTTTCCCTTCGCCCTTACTCACCCCTCTCTCCGCCTACCATCTACACCTCTTTCCTCATTCTCTATCTATCCCTCCACTTCCTCCTTATCTCACCATTCTCGTTTCTCCCTTTTTACTTCCCCTCATTTATTATTCCTTTTTCCCCCCGGTGTTCCTGCGCGGCAGCGCGAGTTTACATACACGCAAACATACTCTTGGAGGTTGCAGCTCGCGCTTCGGGGTCCAGCAGTCATTTATTTGTCACAGGACGACCGGTACAGGCTGGCTTGTTCCAGGTAAACGCGCGTTCGTGCGCGACGCGTTATCTAAGAGCGTTCCCCCGAGTGCTCTCCCGCTCCAAGTACGAATTATTTCTGCGAGTATTCGCGCGGCCATTGCAACGCGCGCGCATTGATAATCGAGTCGCACCGTGTGAAATCGTACGCCGACATTTTTGGTCCTCCGCTGATCTTCCTTTCCGTATGATAATTTCGCGTTTTATTGCACGCCGCCAAACGCCAGCTGCCGGGCTAATGGTAATGTGCGATTAAATTTAAATTATTTCGTTGCCACGGAGATTACAATGCGGTTCGAGGTAAATGTTTCACGGGGTTAGCTTTTACTCTTTGTTGCACCACGAGGAGAAAGTTTCCCGGATCGAGGATTCGCTTGTTATTGGGTCAACAGATCAACGATTATCGATGATGATTGGGTATGTCGAAAGTAGCGATCGACGTTTGATACGATATGTGAGATAGGAAATAAGAGAATCTGGAGATACGTCTGTCATAACGAATACCGATTTTTATCGGCAAGAAGGATAACTCGCTCTATGAATCGCTCGATTTTCCGAAGCACGAGTATCTCTGATAATACGTAGCTTCGTAGAACTCTATATTTGTTATCATAATTAATTTCAATAATTATTCCTCCTATCGTGTTATCGTCACGATCTAATCTCGGTAAGCAGTCGATCCAGATCACTCTCTCTACCTCTCGAGGTAATTCAATTTTTCTCTTACATTTCTGCAGGCAGTCATTCCGCCCTGCCAGTCAGTAATTTCAGGTAATGTCAGGGTAGAGATATGTAAATGATCCATAGAGATATACCTCTATATCTGATTTACTGCCCTACTTAATAACCGTGACGTTTATCTCCTTGCATCAAAGACACTCGTAAAATGTAAATTGAATTAAACTTTATAGCTCCGACGTGACTGTTTTTCAAATTCGCCTCTTCCAGGTTGTTCTATTCTCAAGTGTACTTAAACAACCTTCGAAATTTAGAAAATACCAATTTAGAAAGATCGAAATTGCGTAACACTGAACCTACCACGGTCAAATGACCCATGAATCAAGTAGCAGTAGAATCTTGAAAAAATCACATAACTCGAAACGTTGAAAGATTGATTGCACGTATATTGGAAGAAAAATTGCGGAAACGAGTGGCCAAGACGATAAAGTTCAATGAGAAATTTTAAACGGGAGTTTTGAAAACGGTTATTTTAGGTGATGGTAGGTTTAGTGTTAAAGAGAAAGCATTTCTCTATCGAGAAATCAAATATAAACGAATTGCAGTAATTTAAAGATCAACTCGAGGCTAATTAATATCGCTGCTCGAAACGTCTCCGACACGAGATTACTAATAGCGTCGTGGCGAGTGGATTCGCCAGGAAATCCACAAGGAGGATTGCGTTTTTCCGTTGGTGCAGAGCTCGTCGATGGCCGGCTTATCGACAGCTGAATGCTCGAACACGCGAAGACCCGAGGGAGAATCGTTGACGCGAAACGTTTTCTTTACTCTTCGCAGCGAACGCGTTCGTTAGAGGCAGAGGAAGCTAAATCCTTGCGCGAGCTTCCATCGTTGAATTTATTGGCGCCATTGCCGCAGGTGGCCGCGTGCTGCGTGCCTGCGAATTCTTTACGACCGCCTCGGATTTCCCGGCATGGCACGGCGTCGTTAGTCACCGGCTCTCCGGATAGAAAAACTCCGCATTCTTCGGTTATTCTTCCCTCTGTGTTGATAAAATTAATGGAAAAGAATGAGAACGTTCCTCCGAGGGATCGCGAGATCGAGATTGTCGCGGTTCTGCAATTTGCCAAGGAATTGCTCGACATTCGATTGCAAACGTAGAATCACGCAAATGGTATTGGCTGATTTCGTTCGGATACTGTTAATATCCGCTAATTCTCGCGATATCGCTTTCGATATTAATTCCTCGGCTTTCCAAAAGTAAAATTTACTTAAATTTTACGCAATTCTCACGGATTCCATCGATTCGATTAACTCCTAGTATTTTCACGAGTCTGACTCGTGATGAAGGTTTTGGGCCAAACACGAATATCACGAGTCTGACTCGTGATGAAGGTTTTATGCCAAACGCGAGTATCACGAGCCAGACTCGGGAACAGGAGATTCTTCCAAATATAGCTTTAAAACTGTCATCTATTATAAAATATAACATATTTATGATATTTATAAAAGGGAGAAGGATTAGAATTTACTTGCACAGTTCTGTAGTATAGACGAGTATCAAATACAGTAGTATAAAATTGACTATATCACACGTATTTACATTTCAACTCGTATTGCGACTGTTTTCGAGCATCAGTCTGGTCTGTTTACCTACGGTTTGGGTCAACGGGTTAAATTTGGATTACAAGAAAAAAGAAAGGGAGAAAAATTCAATCGTTTATAAGATATTCGAAATAAGATAACGAGTGATAAATTATTTTTTCCTCAGAACCTTCGGCGCAAAGTGTGCGAAATGCGGACGCAGCGTAGGTGCTGGGGATTGGGTGAGAAGAGCCAGAGAAAGGGTTTATCACTTGGCATGCTTTGCCTGCGATGCCTGTTCTCGTCAGCTCTCCACAGGCGAGCAGTTCGCCCTCTTGGACGCCAGGTTGCTCTGCAAAGCCCATTACTTGGATGTCGTCGAAGGCAACAACACTTCTTCCGATGGTGAGACTCTGAAATATTCGAAATTACTTCTCCAATCGAACACCATTTGATCCACGAGTACCTTATCCTAAAATCTGACGCCAAATATGATTATCCAAGTATTAGAAATAAGAAAGATTCTCATCTCTCTCAGTCTTCCCACCAGTCAATTGCCAAACAACGTAATCGCATTATCGTCCGAATGGAAATTGTCCTTTGGACGAAGGACGGTGTTACAGAATCCGTCTGAATGGATGGAAAATTTGAAATCGATGGAGGGTGAGATGGAGAGAGATGGGGAAAGTGGAGCAGCCCTAATTGGTACTTTCGTAGAAGGCGGTGACTCCGAGAGCGGCCACAAGAGCGGTAACAAGGCGAAGAGAGTGAGAACCACGTTCACGGAGGAACAGCTTTCTGTTCTTCAAGCGAACTTCCAACTGGACAGCAATCCGGATGGCCAAGACCTCGAGAGGATAGCACATGTGACCGGACTCAGCAAAAGAGTTACGCAGGTTTGGTTCCAGAATTCTAGGGCGAGGCAGAAGAAGCATCTGCACACGGGCAAAATGAAAGGGCAACATGGTACTTCTTGCGTTTGTTTCTTTCAGCGATATCTGTCCGGTTTTAGAGCTGTCTAGCGAGAAGAGATTTTCCTTCCATTTATTTCATTCTTTTATCGTTTACTGCTCAATCTCCACCTTTATTCCGTATCTCTTTCACTGTTTTTTCATTCGGGATAAGAGACGTATTTCTGGGGAACGAATTTTGCAAACGATATAAAGATCGAAGCTACGTATAGAGTTGCTCGCTTTAGTCGATTCTCGCTGAATATCGTTGATTTTATCGATCCTGCCATATGACAAAAGCAGTTAAATGCTAAGCTAGATTATTCGCGAATCGATTAAGGTGAACGATTATGCTGTCTCGTTATGTCGTTTAACACTAAACGTACGAAGCTGGGTCAAATGATCCTTGTCACAATTTACTTTATTTGAAAAAGTAAATAATTCTACATTTATCGTTACTTCTTTCGCTCATCTGTGACATTCTGTAAATTCTTATATCATCCGATCGTTTAATTTCCCTCTTTCCGTTTTTCTCTCAACTTATTTTGTACCGAGAAAAATTGTTTACACATGTACTGCGAGGGGCCATTTGACCCCTTACGAAATTTACGTATTTTTCCGCAGTTCTCCAACTGCAATTTTATTTACTTTCCGAATGAAGCATATACGATAGAGAAACAGACCTAGAGATTCTACTTGTTCGAACGTTTGAATCAAATATAGGTGACTCTGAGGTGTATCAGGGTGGATTACGTTTAGAGAATCGGAAGATTATCGCAGCTCCGAATGAAAGAAACGTCATTTACTGTTACAGTTCATCAATCACCACCGAATTCTACCGCGTCCACGGGCGATTTCAGTCGACACATCAATTTACATCTGACCTATTCATTTCAACATCAACAGCAACACCATCACGGCCAGCAACCGCCGCAGCTGAGTCCGGCTACGTGCAAAAGCCCCACGCCCTCGATTTATCATAATCATGGTAAGGATATTATTACAGTTTCTCTTTTTCTGCATGTATGGGATATTTATCGCATGACATCACTGCTTCTCTTTCGATACAACAGTTTTGCAATACCAATCAAATTTCTTTTTGCAAAACAAAACGCACGAAGCGGTATACCTTCTCAAAGAATCCAGAAATTCAACTGAATAATTAGCTAATGAATTCCATGCTTAACCCTTTGCCGTTCAAATTATCTATAAAACGTTTTATTCTCTAGATACTCCTCTTTCTTCCATCTTAAAATCGTTAGAAAGTAAAATTCGCTATGGAATATTGAAAGAAAAAGAAGGTATAGATGCTAATGAAAATTTATTTTCAAATTTCGTTTTGTTTTAAATTATTTCGAAGCTGTGACATTATCGATGACACCTACCCCATGTTAGCTGATATCGTTGTCTAATGATATTCTGAAAATAGTAAAGTAGTAAAATTCAATTATACTTGGAAAGCGAAAAACAAGGGGTTAACGCAATGGTATTCACTGGAAGGTAGAATTTTTGCAAATAATGAAGATATTTAACCCGCGTCACAAGCGTTTATCAATATCCACGGACGAAACAAACGTTTTACTCTGAAAAGGTCTCTATCGCAACACCGTCAACTCTGTCTTCAGGCTCGGAACAATCGATGGACGATCTCTCGCAAGACTCGATGATGTTGTCGATGCCGAACGAGGTTTAATCGCCGCTGGATTAGCCGTATTGTAAATATTCTTTAATTTAGAGTTAAGGTATTTTCCACGTCCATGAATCTTTCTCGGTGAACGCGTTCATTCCTTTTTGTCTTTGTTTACTTCGATCGAGGATAGTTAGATAGAAGTCGTATTATTCGTCGTCGCGATAAAGCTTGGACTGCACGAGCTTTTTCTCGACGTTCACGAAGGTGGAAAAGAGTGGAGAAGGCAGGAAAAGGTGACGTGTAAAAAGAAGCAACGAAGAGAAGTTTTTCACACCGATTGATCGTATTTTGTTCTCTTTTCGAAAATTTCTTCGACTCCCCGATGAACGTCGAAAAGGAAAAAGCTCGCGGTAAAACTCTGCCGTTTAAGTTCCAAAGTATTCTTTACTGTAAGACGCGTTTCTGAAACGCGTTAGTTGATTACCTTATTACTTTAGTACGTACTCTGCAATAACGTATTTATTCGGTTAATTGACCCTTTGAAACGAATTCTTGGAACGAACCAGCGTTTTACGTGATCCTTTTGGAGTTCTTCGAAATCTTCGACTGGAAAATTGGAAAGTATCGAAAAATCGATATGCTCGAAAATATGGTATCGAAGTGTATTATGTAAACGGTTTGACGAAACCCTTGGTGAATTTTCAAAGAGTTTATCGTTACGTGATAATGCGAAAGGATTACCAAATTGGCAGTGATTAATATTTTGACGATGTTCACGTGGATATGAAGTAAAGGAAGGTAAATATTATTATAAAATCCTTGATTAAATATATTATTTAAGATAACGAAGATACAAGGAGGGAGTAAGTTCATCGCATTTGTACTGGAAAGAGAAATTTATTAGCGATCGTGAATGATGTCCAGGTAATTTCTCAGTTAATGCTTTTAAAGAAGAATAATCACTGGTATTATTTAAAGGCGAATATGCGACGTTCCAGAGGGTTAATCCAAATAAAAATTTCGATACTTCTAGATGGCATTCGAGAGAAAACGACGTTGCTAAAGCGTGCCGAATGTTTTGTATGATTTAAAACGAAATCCGCCCAAATCGTTGTTAACCTATTAAGATTACCAGCAAAACGTAGAGCAGCCAATTTTTAAGACTGGATGGCAGCACAGCTCTCTCGCACTGGATGTTAAGCTTATTATAAATAAGTGAATACATTTAACGTTCCATGTTATGCATGAACAGATCCGCGGATGCAGCAATATGGAAGTGAGTGGCGAATATTTCCGTAATAATTAATAGGTGAAGATCAACTCGTTATCGACTTCCTCGTGGCCCGATTAACCCTTTCCACGCTTGTTTCAGTTTCGATATTACTTCATTCTCTTTTGGAAAAATTTCTGCCCGTTTCTTCGTATCCCTCAGCTTTAAAAATTCCAACGAAATTGTAAAAGTGCATTTTTAACAATAAAATTGTAAGAATATTGCCACAGCGTTGAGAAGAAAAATATATATGTATAAAATAAAAGTTTTAAATATGGAAAAATTAAAAATTAGGGATTTGCATATTGAAAATGATTCAGCTTTTAAGTATCGCTAGGTCTTTGTTACTTTTCGTAAACTGATTTATCGAAACGATCGTAAATTATCGAATTACAGTAAGAGGGGTTAATCGTGAGTCTCGAGAAGCTCGACACGAGTTGGTAGAATCAAACGGAAGTGTCCTTCACGATCGTAAAGAAGCGATAAATGTAATTTTCCTTCTTTCCGAGAGGACGGTACACGGTAGTTCTCACTTTCGTTGATCCGCGGAATTGCCTGATCTAATCAGGCTATCGTTTTAATAAAACGTATAAGGTCGAGTATACGATTAGCGTAAACGAGAAATCCGAGTCGTCCGGTGTCCCCAGAACTTCCTGTGACCTGTTGACTTCCTGTTGACTCGAGTCTCCAGCATCTCGGGGTGCATCAGAAAGCAATGTTCCGAATGAAAGTATCTTTTACAGTGTTTAGGTAATTAATTGTGTAATCGTAAAAGGATCATTATTTAATATACATGTACTGTGATGTAAATATTGTAAACTAAGTATATATACAATATAAAATGTTGCACATATTTATTTGTTCCACGTTAATATTCCCAAAAATATATATTTTACATTAATTTCCTGTACAATTTCCCGGATACATATCCTTTTGCTATTACTTACTACCTAAAAGCAATCTGTATTACCTGCTTTCAGCGTTTCTATATATTTATTTTTCTTTTCTTCGATAAAGGTGGATTTATTTGTACGTCTACGAGAGAAAGGTATAATTGTTCGTCTGTGAATAATATTTTGAAAGTCGGGAAGAATAACAGGCGTTAACAGTAAAAGACATTTTTATTATTAACAGTACGGTTTACAATATTGCGGTAATGTGTGTACAGCATGGGGACGATATCAAATACTCATGCACGATTTTCTTGAGATTTATATACAAAAGCTACAGGCTACGTCTATGTACAATTTGATCTTAAAAATAAAAGAGTTCGCGGGACACGTGTATAATGAGAATTTAAAGAACGCTAACGAGTGTGACCATGTTGTCGTTTGAAATTACCTATCTTTTAATCGAACACTCAATGTTTTCGCGAGCTGCAAATTTGAACGTTAAGCAGGAATAAAGAACAATATCGATGAAATTTCTGAAACGGTTAACGTTATGGAAATATCACGATTCTTTGAAATTGAACGTTAACTTAATACGATTTCGATGCACTGTATATCATGGCGGATAAAACTCGCAAGGCAATTGCTAATTGAGAGAAATGAAACTTTCATGAGCATACTCGTTCGATTGCACTTTTGTCAAATGAAACACTGAAGCCAGACATTTGCTACGAGAAAGCAATCAGGTGCAAATGCGAGCTACGTACTATTTCAATCGAAAAGGAATAAATAATCGTCGTTTTGTCTATTCGTACACTAGAATCCTCACCATGGAATCCTATCCTATTCGTAGTATCACTTTTACTTCTCGCTTTGTTTCAAACAATTCGTTTTTGGTATGTACAAAGAAAGCAGAGAACATCTCGGTTACTGGAAACATCGGGATTCTAGCGAATCTCTCCTTTTCCTTAGAATTCGAAGGGGGCTCGTTCTAAACGGTATCAAATTCTTTCCAATATCCCAACTCCTCGTCGCTTCCGTTCCGCTCCTCCGACAGTCACTGCGAGATCGACGTTCATCGAGATTTGAATAAAAAATTTTACATGGAAAACCAGAATCGCCTTCGAAACGATCGGCGAAGAACCGTGTTAAAATTCGAAAGTAATCACCGGTTTCACGAACAGTTCTTTGACAAAGTTACCCCGTTTGATGACAGAACTGCGCTTGAAGGTGATTGGGCGTCGTTGGGGTGAGAGGTGTCAGAGGGGTGAGAGGTGTCAGTGGACTGCCAGGACTTTCGCTTCCTGCGCTGCCACCCTGATATCCACCCAAATAGGCGCCTACCATGTTCACGCTGGTAGGGTACAAGTCTCCCGGATGATGTTGCATTGGCGGTGAATGATGCACTGAATGTAATGGAAAATTCATACTCTTTTAGGTGTGAAAATATTGGCAGGGAAATAAGGAAAAGATAGTATACTTGAACTTTCATTTTTCCAAACAAACATCCGAAAATCACAATTTAGTCTCTTCTTCCTTTTATCCCGATGCTAGTTGCAATATCTAACCTTGTTCACTGAGTGATAGCGTAACGATTTGAAATTAAGATACTCGATCAATAGAACGATAAAGAATAAATTGTAATTTGTGCTCCACAAAATTTGTAGAAGATGCAGAGTTAGTTTGGAAAACGCGGAATTAAGAAATTGGAGATTTCATTTATATATTAAAATTATTATTATCCACGAGATACTTCTTCATCGAGAGAGAAATATGTTTAGAAAGAGGAATTTCAAAATATTTCATGAAAAGGGTACTCACTTTGCGTCTTGATCTTTCCACTATGCTTCTTCTGCCTGGCCCTCGAGTTCTGAAACCAGACTTGCGTCACTCGTTTGCTCAGTCCCGTGACATGAGCTATTCTCTCGAGATCCTGGCCATCGGGATTGCTGTCCAACTGAAAGTTCGCTTGCAAAACCGAGAGTTGCTCCTCCGTGAAAGTCGTCCTGACCCTCTTCGTCTTGCTGCCTTTGCCGCCGTGTTCGGAGTCGCAGTCTTCCGAGGACGAAGTATTGTTTCCTTCCACGACGTCGAGGTAGTGAGCCTTGCAGAGCAATCTGGCATCCAGCAAGGCGAATTGCTCCCCCGTGGACAGCTGCCGGGAACAGGCGTCGCACGCAAAGCAAGCCAAGTGATAAACCCTTTCCCTGGCCCTTCTCACCCAGTCCCCGGCACCCACGCTTCGGCCACATTTCGCGCATTTTGCACCAAACGTTCTGAAACATCGAAGATGAGAACGCTTAATAGGAAAAGTAGCTTATACACCGATCTTTTCGTATATCTCATTCTCAATTAATACACCGTGTTCCAATAACACGATCCTAGTTCATCCCACATAATTTGATTCGAAAATTCGAAAGAATCGTGAAGTCCTGATACTTTTCGTTTCTTCCTTAATTACCACTACTCTTAAGTAACAAAGATCCGTTTGGTTCATCGACTTAACGTTTCCCTGGTAAATTAACACTCGACTAACAACCTGACTTTTTTCAGCCTCCAGCAGAAAGCGAAGATTCGAAGAGGAGGACGTGGAAGGAAGAGAAGGATATCCGAGGTGCTATTTTGGTCGGGGCTGCAGGTTCATTCAGGACCTCCGTGCACGAGAATCCGATGGTCCTGTCCTCATTAACATACTACTCCGCCACTCGATGTCCCTTGGAGCACGTCAGCAGCGCGGGCCACGGTTTAAGGGTCGCTCGACCTCTCGCGATTCGGCCGGTAGATTACGTCGAGATTATCTCGACGTCTCAGTCCCGCGGCTTCCCTCGCCCTACAAATGACTCGAGCCCTTTGAATTTCAGCCGCCAACACCAGGAAACGGATGACACTGTTACGACTGATGCCTCCAGGATGAAAGATGCCAGCGATTTGTGGCTGGCATTTACAAGGAAAACGATATGCTGGTCTTTTAATGAGATCTTGTACCACGATAGGGCCGAGGCTAGCCAAGATAATGATTGCTGGATTTGGACGTAAGTGATTGGCATTTGAGTTTATTATACGGGTGAACGGGTGAAAATATTCCCAATTTAATAATTCATCGCATTTACATCGTTCCACTATGCGGACTTATCGTTTAACGATCTAACGTTATTCGTATGTAACGAAAAATCATTGGATTACCATCGAGCACAGGTTGCCTGTTATATAATTAAGAGTGAGAATATGAAATGCGATAGCTTTCATTTCGACGACTGAAATTGGGCAAGGACGTGATTTATTAGATGCACGTGCGTTCAAACGTAAGGTATTTAATTATTTTATGATAGAATATTACTTCTTTGCGTTAGAAACTTAGCAATTATATAAAGCAGGTGGACTGCAGTCTGTACGAGTAACTTGTTCCCCGTGGTCAAGAAGAATTTCGCTGCGACGAGAGAGAGGAGAGGGAGAGAAGAAGTATAAGCAGTAAGTGAAAAAGAAGAATGGAGAATCGACCGAAGGGTTGCTTATTGTATGGAAAAATATGGTAAGCCACGGAAGGATTAGTCCGTTCACGAATTGCACCGTCACCGTCGCATCCGAGATATTTTCGGGCATTATTGGTTATGGTGATCGTGAACGGGGCACGCCTAGGAGCGTGTACGCGTTCCCGACGAGACATCGAGACCTGACTCTGCATACTTTTTTCACCCTCTCGAAACTTTGTCCGGGATTTAATGACACAGCTAAGTTACTACTCCATTTCTACAAATGGAATATAAATTTCTCTCGCATTTCTTTACAAAACCGTTTTTAAATTATCTAACGATCCGACGATAAATTTTGTCATATTATTTGGAGAAATAATAATCAGAGAAATCGGTTATTTATTAATTTCGAATCGACTGTGATACTATAAATATTTGCTTTCGTGGATGAGACGTAAATCCTTTCGTGGATAATCTAATAAATTTCTCGTCCTTATAATTAAGTTAGAGTCTTTGTAATTTACAGCGACAAAATTATTCACGCTTTCCTTTATACGTTATAGCAACCGAGATGCCTTCCAACGTTTCTTTCATCGCCACGACTAAATAATGCGAATGCTGAAAATTACAATTCTCGTCCACTCGCTACCTGTCCTCCCACCAAATAGAATCGCTAGAATATCCCCACAAAATACTTGGATAATCACATGAAACTCGGTGTTGGCAACGCGTAGCATTCATAAACATCCAATTGAGTCGTTGGAGATGTTTTGCGAGCCATCGCGGAACACCTCTATCTTTGCCGCAAACCAGCAAGAAACCAGCAAAGTGCAAAAGATGACGCGATTTTTCAGACCGACGTCGAATTTGGGGACCCGTGAACGTTCGGTGAGGTGTCATTAGCATAAATAGTGGCGCCACCCCTTTCCTTTTCCGCCGCGTTTACGTCGGTTCAGGCGAAAGAGAGAAGGGTAGACGGGCAGAAGCAGCGTGTAAGCAGACCAGAGGAACTGGTATTGGGTATCTATAAATCTTCAGGGCCGTACATCGGCTACCAAACGACCCCGCCCTAATTTATTCATTTGTTCTTCCACATAGGCGGGCCCTATAAGTCAACGGGGGATTAAGTCGGCCGCTATCCGACCTCTGCACGGTAGAGAATTCATGGTCCCCCTTGTCCCTTCGATCCTCATTCGGCTGCATTCGATTCTCGCGCTCCGCAGCCAGATCACGATCGCGATCTTCGATATCATCGGAGATATAAATGGAACGCGTGATAAATTACAATGTCCACGGTATTTTGCACTTGAATTATTGTTTTCGCAGATAGTACCACGGTCGCGTGTATGAGGGACGTTTACGTTGGAAAATTAATCCTTCGTTTGTGGAAGTGGAGACCTGTTATCGGGAAACTAGTATTTTACTCGTAGCGAATTCTCATTTGCGAGAGTTCGGTGTATCTATGTGCACATGTGGTTATAAATCGTTATTCAATACGTTATTCAACGGTACGTTCCAACCTGTGAGATTCTGAACTTGCTCGAGAGCAGAAGCCTAAGTACACCTGAGCATTATATTATAAAAATTATTAACTCGACGTTAACTTGCAGGTGAAGGTTTTCATACCCACACGTGCTACCAAGACTCAGCATGGGGTTCCTGTTTCGAGCCAATCTTTTAGTATGGTCCAAACTGAAGCGGTACCATTTAAGACATCTGGATATTTGTTCTAACAGGTAAATAACGTGTTACGCTATTTTATTATACCCTTTACTGAAACAAATGTAATATTATAATTTTCTTCCAGTCAAAAAGAATTCACTTCGCGATAAAGTTTCCTTTCGCGTTAATTATTATACTTAGGTCAGTGTGAATTACTACCACGAATGAAATACCTTTCGCTACAGTGCCAACGATCACGCGACACTTGGAAGCAACCCGAACATCAGTTAAACAGCCTTGTCGTTGGAAATTACCTAAAATTATCGATTCCCTTGGCATGTTTAGAAAATCGTCGAAATCGTGGCAGCAGAAATGGAGATTACCCCCGGGTTGCGGCGTCGTGCCTCGAATCCGATGCCTTTCTCAGGAGGGCGTAGGCATTCGCATTTAAGTGCCATTAAGGCAGAAACGATAAGGTCGTGATTAAAGCGGCGACCGATTCACTGTCGCGGAGCATCGGCCACACTGAATTAAGAGAACCGGAATTTCGACGCTGGCATCGCTAATAGAGCGATTTCTGGTTCATCCTGCTCTCTTGAACCCGCGTCCTTTCCTTCGCCGCGCTCTTAGCTTTTTCTTCTTACTTTTTCTATCTTCGTCCCTCTTTTTTATATACTCTTTCTGTTTCTTTTTATCCTCGTCTGTGGAACGACACGAGGAAAAGATCGTGGAAGGAGGCGGAGAATAACGTCGGCGAATATTTATTAATTTAAAAGACACCCGTCCCGGTTGAAAAGCACCGACACACGAGGGTGGACCAAAGAGAGGGAATCACAGCTGGCTTCGAGCTGCCTTACGAGGCGAATTCCTTAGACCTCTGGAACACTGGCAGTCTTTGCTCGTGACTCGGCAGCCACGCACACGCGTGCCTGTATTTTCGTGTTCTCCAGCGGAAAGTATCTCGTGGAATCACTTTACAGTCGGTCAAGTCGATACCGTGACGCTACCGAGAGTGATAGACCAAGGAATGTGGATGAAACAGAAGGATCGGGGAAAAAATGAACTCCAAGGACGAAGATAACGTTAATTAACGAAATTATCTAGGATAATCATCTCCTAAGAGTCCAATTTGAATGCATAATTTTATCTCGAAGAAGTACTACGGATTCTCGAAGTATATTTCGCTGTAGATCAAATGCTCGTAGATGAAGTTTCATATCGGATAAAATCGAGCGAAATTAATAAACATTTACGTTGACTTGGCTACCAGGTTGATAATGACTGTGGCGACTGACTGAATGCGAAGATTGAATGCAATGGTGTAGGTGTCTTCAGTCTCACCTTACCGGTTGATGATTAATTGTCCATCTTCGTCCTTTCTTGCCTCGTAATAAATTTTTGCCCGAACTGCATCAAAGTTGAAAAATTATTTACACTTATTCCAGCACTTTCCTGTATTACCCGACGGTATGTGGAATTAAATGGTAAACAATTTCAGACAAGAAGGACCATCGAGGAGGATCTTCTCTCACCAGCAGAGGTGAAGAGGAAAATTTTGAAACTTCTCTTCGAAAGCTAATTCAACGAAATCACTACCACTATACGCAGTGCCTACGCTTTTGAAATTTATCCACTGGTGAAATGAACACGAGCAAATCGAGAGGTGCAAATCGACCACGAGGAGGTCGTTCATTGTACCATTTCCTATCAGAGCGAATACGAGTTTGTCGTGAACGCGACGTGTGTCGATCGGAAAGCGCCATCGCGAATATTCGTGCACGGCCCGGTCGAAAAGGCGATCTTTTCTTTTCCTCCACGGACTTGTAACCGCGAGAAAACGTCAGTTGAGATGTCCTTTATTCGTACCCGGTATCGGGCCAGCTTCAACGTCACAACGTGACTCGCAGCTCGCGCCCGAGCATGCGTGGTACACGTATATGCCCGGTGACGTGAATAGCCGACTGTACGCGTGAGGTCCAAAGAAGAAGAAGAGGAAGACGAAGAGGATGAGAAAGAAGAAGAAAAAGGAGACAGAACCAAGAAGAAGGAAAAGATAAGAGAAGCAAGAAGAAAGCTACATCGGAAGACATTAATCACCCACTGGCGAATCTCTCGACCCTACGTCGAATACGCGCGTAAGGATATCTGTTCATCTGCGGGAATATCTGCACCCACGTGACGGCCACGTGACTGGAAAGGAGAGCCACCTTTTAGCAAAATCACCGTAATCATATTTTCTCGTTCCGCGATAAATTGGTTCGTTTAAGACTACGTCCGAAGAGAGAAACGCGGAACGGAATGATTAATCGTTGAAACACTGGCGACATGCTTTAAGGTACTTTGGATCTCGTTAATAATTGCGAACAAGTATGGGAAAAATTCGAAATCTTATTTGGACTCGCAAGCATGCATTTTTCAAGATATTTTATTCTTCTGCGAAAATTTCAGTGAAAATTTATATCTCTTACAGCTATGATAGTAGCTTTTCTAGTAGAAGTTTTAGACTCTCGAGAACTGCTTATCGAACAAGTTCCGTGAAACCTGTACTGTCGAGATAGATATCAATTACTTTCGAGTAATATTCAACGATACCACATGGTAATTTGTTACGAAAACAAAACGAGAGACTTGTCCTTTCACGCAAAGGCTCGAAAGCCACTGGGACCATTTTGGCGAGTCACGAGTTCGTAATCCAGAACGATACCCTTCGAAATCTATCCCAAGGGACTTGTTCGTAGAATCCTTTGAAACTAGCTGCTCGACAGGGTGCCCGAGATATCTGTTATACCAATGTCAGCGTACTCCGCAAGAACTGTCCTGTAAGTCGAACAAATGATCGTTCTTTCCAGGAGCTCCCGAGTGGTAGTCGAGAAACGTCCTCTTAAGCTTGGCTTTGCTCACCGGTTACGTATCAGTGGGGTGTCTCTGCCGACTTCGATCAGCCGGAATATTATTGGATTCATCGATAATCCCTCGTGTTGCTTCTGGATCGCGGGACAACTGTCCCTCCTGGTCGATTACGGATCGCGACTGAATGATGGAACGCTTTGGTTTGATGAACGAGGTACCACAGCCTCTCGAGGATGCTTCGAAGGGAAGGTTTAACTTTGTCCGCTGATGGATACGTAATCGAAGATGTTTTATAGCTAACTATCCATTTAGCGAGATAATATGGATAAGGGGAAAGTGTGCAAGGGAGACGAGTGATTTTAAATACAAAAATTGAATTAGGCTGAAGTTATTTAACCCTTTGCACTCGGCGATTGTTTCGTTACAGGAACATAGTAATTCGAAGACTGTCTGCCATAAAATCGACGATATTTTTTTGAAACGATAAATAAGAAATCGTGTACAAATTAAGACGTAGAATTATTTTAATACGATATTCCACGCATCGTTGAGTAATTGTGAATTTCGTATATTAATTAACATCCATCTTTTGAATCTGATTAAATGGCGACTGAGGGGCGCCTCTCGAGCGCAAAGGGTTAATTTCTAAATGCATCATGCGAAGGAGATTCGATGTCTGAAAGAATTCGCATTGCACTATAAAATACCAGAAAGATGCGTCATAAATCGAAAGTCGAGAGTTCGAAATAACGTCTAGACGCTGTTATCGCGTAAATCATGGAAGGAACCTTAGCGAGAAGTAATTTGAAACTAAACGCCATCGTTTAGCAAGAAGTATACAGTTTTCTGCGTCTCCGGTGGTATAAATCACCGAACCCTAGAAACCCAGAAACAGAGGTTTCTCGCTGATTCGAGAAATAACTAATGTTAAACTTGGACACCAGGATCCAGTGACCCTGGAAATAGAAACCAGTTGTACTTACAAGGCGTAGTCGTGCCTGCAGTAAAGCCGCATCCCTCGAAGAAAACAGGAGTGCTGATCGTGCAGGGGCCTTGCACAGGCGCAACATTTCAGACACCTGGAATGCCAGGTACGACCCCCTACACAGAGGACGGTGCGCTCGCGGACGCTTTCCCCGCAACCACCGCAGTCCATTTCCATTCCATCGTGGCTGTCGTTGTTGCTGATAGTGGTACCGACCTTCTTGATGCTGGCCACGTTATTATTGTTCGCGTTCACGTTGTTGTTGTTCGAACACAGGATGCTGTCCGTGCACTCTGTCTCCGTTTCGATTTCGGTCTGAAACGGGTTTATTTTCAACTGTTATCTCGAGTAGAATAATGTCAGAGTGATCCAGGGTCTAATTATTAAGGATCATCGGCGAACAAAGAATCGGGGATGATTCCGACTTTAGAAATTTAACGTGAAAACTAAAACTAAATCACGATTTATGGAAGTTGCGCAAAGTATTCAACTGTCCTCTTTCTGAATTGTTAAATATACCGAAAAGGAAAACTCCTTTTTACGATACCGTAACGAAAAGCAGCATATACAAAGATCATTTTCACGAGGCTTAAGAACAAATAATTCCCGGTGGATCTGAGCAAGTTAATTAACAAAGCGACCAGCTGACACACAGAGGAAGCAGCTTTACCCACTATTCTCGCCAATTCTTTGTCCACGTATCGCAGTTTAAAACCTGTATTCATACTCTACTATTTCCCACCCTCTAAAGTCTCTGGAAGCATCTCTAAAAACATCGTGTTCAAGCAGCGCGAACGCAGTTCCATCAATAAACCTCTCAAACAGCTGCTACGAGTCTGTGCACGGTGTCGTCGCGAGATTTAATGCCGCGGCATTAAAACGGGCACTTTATATCGAGTATTGGATAGAAAAGAAGGCGAGCCACGGTATTAACGTTATTAGAAGAAGCGAGGATCGCGCTGCGGCTAGAATTTGTTGGCTAGTGAAACCGGCACGGCTCGATCGATTCATAAAGCGTGTGTACGCGTCGTACAAGAACACCTTATAGGCGGCCGATCGTTTCCGGGTGTGGAGTACGGAAAGCTTGGCTGCGGGCTCCAAATCTCAATTAATACTCGGCAAAGTGAAATAATAAACGAGCAGACGGCCGCCGGCTGATAAATGATGCCGCTCTGGGCATGATCCCTCCGTTCCTCGACGACTGGCCTGGCCCAACGTCCACGATTCGCATGACTACGCACACATCGTGCATCAAGCGTGCGTGCACGCGAAACCACCTTTAGGCAGGCGCAAATTTGTTCATTGTGTCCCTTGAAATTTAAGCGACACCTATGCTTAGAAATCCTAGCTGGTTTATTCGCAGCTTCCTTTTAATCGAACGCCGAGGGATTTTGGAAATTTCCACATCGTCTCGAAAGCTTGTCTTTTACTTAGTCCTTGTCTTTTACTTGGCGCTTGCACTTCCGCGAGAAGAGTGTGTGGCAAACGACGCGTTCCGCGTGCGCAATTCATCGGCAGGGGTTGAAAAATGGTGCAGTTGAAACTGTTCTTTTAAGTGCTTCTGAATGTGCCGAGAGTCGAGTAGAATATCTAGTTTATCTAGTATTTTAATGTATCGATATGTCGGTGCAACATTTTTCTCGAATATTCAAATACTTCCTTAGTCTTGCTCTCTTACTCTGTCAGTTTACGCGGTTCGTCCGAGACGAGAAGGGTTAGGTTAGGTTCGTGACTAATAATTCGTGACTAAGGAATTTAAATTCGCGAAAAATTGGTAACGCGATCTTTTCGTCGAACGAGGGCGAAACGCGGAATTCTGTATTGACAGGGGGAGGGTAAGCTTCCAAAATAATCCACTCTACGATAGATCACCCTAAACTGACATTCCAAAGCGAGATCTAAAACGGATCTATGAATGAACCACGCTCAAAGAGCTAATTGATTGAATGCGCGAGAGATATCGTGGGCCTCTCGTTTAATTAATTAGACTCGTTCGTGAGAGTGATCGAGGGATCTGCTCATCGCCAACTATAAACCGGAAAGAGGTTCCTATAAGACTAGCCGTGCGAAAGCTGCGAATGTCATCCGCAGAATTTACTACGGACGATATATTAATTTACATTGGTATAATATTCGACAAGATTTATCGTTCGACTCAGCGATTGGGCTATTAAATCCAAGGGATTTGTTAATAATCCTAAACCGAGCGATGGCAAAACCTCGGATAGGGTCGTAGGTCTAAAATATTTGTTTTACCAAACTTTTTCGGTTCTTTTAGTCAGCTTGAAATGGTAGAACGAAAATGGCTCTATTCGTTAGAAAAAGGCTTTACATATATCCTTGCGAATATCTAGTAACTTATTTTCCCGCGGATCTAAGTTTGAATCAAGTTTCAATCTCGATATGCAAAATCGATATGCAATCGTCGAATTGTATCTCTTGGAATCCTTCATTGAGCTTCAACGAATTGTTCCTTTGCTTCTAATCTCTCTCATTTCCTCTGCATACATTCATTTGCGAACCCTCTATTAACCCCTTGTACTTGGACAATGTTTTCATACGTATGTATGTAACTCTTGCAATGGGGGGCATTTTATTAATTACCAATAGTCAGCTTCTTTCAATTTTTCACAGGTGAATGTAAGATCAAATAAGAAGATTCTACGTTACCAACGTCGCAGTGACGGCGCCAATGAAGTGCAAACAATGAAGAAAAACAACGCAACAAAATTTACCATGTACTCTCTCACAATGCCAAAAGAAGAATTTCTACGTTGCCAACGTCACTGTAGCGGCGCCAATGAAGTGCAAAGGATCAACCTAATCCTGTAATTAAACACGGGATAGTATTTTCATGGTGAGAAACGGCTTTTCGAGCAAACCAAATGCAACGCGACAAATTCCACGTACTCTCGCGCAATGCCAAAGCAGGATCATCGATTAAAATGCATTCATCCTCTAACACGTGGTCGTTCATTAGTCAAGGACCGCTTGAAACAAACCTGTACTACCTAGGGTTTCGAGCGCGATTAATTGACAATCCAACGACACGATGCTTCGCCTTTTTTCTCCCGCTTTCTTTCGGACTTGTCGCGTCGTTTGAGCAAGGGTGGGCTGAAAGAGAAAGACAACGAAAGGAAGAGAGAAAGTCATTGTGAGTGCGTAGAGAGATAAACGCAAAGATAACGCGTATCTGATCTGTATGCAATTTTTTTCTTATCGCTGTCACGGCACACGTGCTCGTACGCACACCTGTGCGTGCACACGTGCGTGTGTGTACGCCGGTATCGCCGGGACAGCGAGTCTTGCTAATATTAATTGGTACACGAGTAACGCACAAAGGTTATTGTTCGTCTCAGCGTGCAATCAATGAGTTAATTACGTTAGGTTCCGTGATTTATAGTCTGTTCCCGTGTTTACTTCCTTCCCAGCGAATCCGATATGCAAATCTTGTCTTCGGCGCAATTTGATCGAACGGATCACGATGGGAGTCACGGTTGGCGAGTTTGGGAAACAATCGCGAAGGATGTATCCTTCGACAGCTTGTGTGCAATAGATGCTGCATTCGTCAGACTTGTGCAAACACAGTTCGCTCGTTTAAAATCGAAGAAACCAAGACTGGAATCCCCGACTGCGAATTTTATTCCTTAACTCTTTGACTGCCACGCCGAAATCACACGTGTCGCTCAGGATGTTATTATTTTTATTATTCAAAGCATATAATGGCAAAATAATAATAATTCTTACCCAATGGAGGGTTTATCCTGTTAACGGTCACAGGTGACCACCGTGGCGCTCTGGTAAGGGTTGACAGCGACAAATTGAAACAACCCTTCGTTTATTTTAACCAACTATTCGCATTCTTTATTTCGTCACAAGAGAAACGTCCAGATTGTATTGGTGAAGTGTGTAGAAGATATTACTAAACGGTATTTGGTCATTCTATATATAACAGTAAGATATGTGCACGCTTCTAACTTCAATTGCACGATTATGAAGCAGCATTTATGATTATTTTCTGAGGTGTGTTTATGTCAAGGCCAAAGGCAACCAAATCTACCAATGATCTTGAAAGATCTACCAAAGACTTGCAATATATAAACTTGAGCCCAAACTCGGACAATTCGTGATCCATCAGCGTGGAGTTAAGTTGGCAAAGTTGGACGCGTGAATTTACATACGAATCAACGAAAGAACGGCTGGAACAACCGTGAAAAGAAGAAACGTGGAAAGAAAAGGAGCGTTGCACAACCGACACCTCAAGAAAGACAACATCGACGACAGCCAATTTCGAAGACGCTACAGGCCTCGTCTTTTTCGTTCCGTCTTCCTCTATCTGTCCTTTCCCTCCTTGTCGCGCCTTCTCCCGTCGGCCAGTAATCATTTCACGTTTAACTGGACGGTCATTGATTTATGATCTGCCGAAGGCAAAGTTGAACTTCCCACCTGTGATTTATACCTTCTGGCATTTCGATCTTCCCTCGGAAAGCGAGCTACGTTTCTCTTCGACGTAACACCGTCGATTAATACGCCGTGTCGCGCACCGTACGATCCTGGCCATTCCGACGCGATTATTCCGCTGAAATAACCGGAAGTTCGTCCGGTAGGATACGAGAAATAATTTTCCATCGAAATCCATTCGATTTTCCCCCGAGACTCCCGTCGAATATCCGTTGCCTCGGTTTCCGTTCCGCGGATCGTCTGAAAATCCTCCACGCCTTATTTTCTAGGGAAAATACAGAGAGGCAGGGTAAAGTGAAATATAGTTAGAAAGATTTGACGAACGATTTAGAAAGTATGGGTAACGAGCATGATTAGCTTCAAAGGTGTTTTGGAACTTAAAATCCACGTAGACTTCGTCGCTATTTAGAATATTATAAATATTCTTCAACTTCCGTTGAAAATTTTTATATCCTTTTCTGCCATCTTTAATTTCCTAGTTTTCTATACTTCACTCTTGTAGCTTCCTATTTTTCTTCTTCTAATTACACGTTCGAGTATTATCTTTCCACGTACAGTAGACAATACGCGAATCTGATAATTCGCAACGTTGGAATGTCGGTGTCTCGAGTTTGCAACTACCAAGACTCGATCGCGGTTAATCATAAATCCCTATTATCGCGTAATAAACGCTGCACAAGGAAAATATTGTATAATACCCCCATCGAGTGTCGGGTTATGTAATTGCGACTCGTTAATCCCATTGTTTGTGCACGAGACATTTTCACGCTTCGCGTGTCGAATTAAATCTCGAAAGTATTCGATATGCTAATAAAGATTACACAAATATTTATTCAATTTTCCTTCGTGTTGATTCTCGATAAATCATCGCTCGTAATTATGCACAGTCTCGTTGTTTCGAGTAGCAAGTCGTAAAGACCAGGTAACCGCTGGTATATTGTTTAACATTTGGAACAAGTATAAAAGGTGCGAACGTTGACCAAGGGGTTTGTAATTACCTGCCGGTTGCGTAACGGTAGAACAAACGCGAAACCGAAGAATAGGAAGGTATTTCGATGACCGTAGAATTTTACAATCGCGTCATCCCAGCTTTACGATCTACGGAAAAGCGACTGCACGGAATTCGAGGGGTAATTTACAACTGGTCAAGATTCGTCGTCTCCTCTCGAATACCCTAAGGAAGCTCCTCGAGATGGGACAAGAAGGGTGCATTTCTTCGAAACGGAATTCCACTTTAGTAGCTCAAAAAAATAACTCTCCTTCGAGCAACAGAATCCCAGAAAATTGTCATTAACGGTATCCTTTGTTCCATGGCTAAAATCAAAACCAGTCGCTTGGTAAAAATGCATTTTCTATTGAAGATCGTTCGATTGAAAGAATAATAATATCTACTCAAAATTGAAGCAGATAAAAAATAATTTGAATAAAGATGTCGATACCTGGATGTCAGTCGTTGACACTGAACCAACCACGGTCCAATAACCGGTAAATGAAAAAGAATTAGAATTTATAAGAAAAATAGAATAACTGGAGAGATTGGAGAAATAATCACACGTTCATTAGAAAAGAAAATCGCCAAAACGAGTGGCTGAGACGATGACTTTTAATTTTGAGGAATTTTGAGGGACAGTTCTGAAAACGGTCACTTAGAGCTTGGTAGATTTAGCGTTAATACAGTCCTCGTTTATCATCTAGCTTCTCGAAACCAAGCATATATCTTCGACATTCGTGTTATAAACGTAAAATACGTTTAGTCGACCATGAAATTGAAATTAGAACGTAAATCCGCAATTTTCTGTCAACCCATCTGACAAACACGCGCGATGCACCATTGCACATTTTAATACTGTTATCTATCTTACATGATTACCGTTTAAAAGTCCACAAGAACGAACGATGCAACGATCTGCGAGCCAGTTCACGAACGAATCGAATTTTCGTGGAAGGAAAGAAGGAATTTTTCAATCGAGCGTTCGTAGGTGGACGCGATGCTCGAAGAATGCAATCAGCGAGTAGTTAAGAAGAATAATAGGAGTCATTTTTTATTCGTCAGCACTTCGGGGCGACGGAGATGAGCTGACAAAGTGAGAAATGCCAGGGTGAAGAGGTCAAACGGGCCTCACTACCGACTACCGGACACCGAAGATGCTCGTACACATCCGATTCGTCACTTGGCTACACGGACGGACGTTTAATGGCACGAGCGAGTACCATTCCGCGTGATTTATCGGCCTTATACGTTTCGCCGGCGATCGTAAATAATTTTTCGCAATATTTCAAAATTATCTCGACCGTCGCCTCGTTTCGTTGCAGGAACAGTTTTTAAGAAAAACTCGCCGCTCCAACTTTGTGTACGTTGCGTCTGACGTTTACGAGTTTCCTATGGAGCATTATGCAGTAGTATAACAACAACGAATGGAGACGTGATGTTGTTAATCGAACCGTGGAATGTTGTTGCAGCTACAAACAGATAAAAATACGAAGAAACTTCAAGTGAAACACCGTAGAAGACTGTAAGGGACGTTAAATGGTGGATGAGAGATATGGATATCGTAATTGGAGATCAAGATAGATCGTTTTCAACATCGTAAATCGATTTTGGTACTATTTACAATATCGTCTTCTGTTGTTACGTATGATATATCTTATCTCTTTCAGGCACGCTTATATGATCCCTTTATTAGTAAAAATATACCAATTTTGTTGCATTTAAAACTGGAATCCTGTGCTGTAAAGAATTGAGAAGGCGAAGATCGTAGCAGACATCAAACATTATAATCGAGGTTTTACAGTGAAATTTGCGAACAAGCAGTATGATTTTAACGAGATGTTAATATTCCAAGCGAAATAAGAATGCAGTGAAACGATAGAGAACAATTTTGAAGTAAAATATCGAATCGAAGGACGCGTTTGTATATGCTGCTTCTGATATCTATCTGCAAATAATCTGCAAGGCAAACGTTTTACTCGACGCATTGAAATATTCGATTCTAATTAATGCACGGTAAATATGCAAACCGTTTATCCTAAGACGATTCACCGATCAATCAAAATCAGATCTAAAAATAATCAAATATTCCTCGTCTGAGAAAATCTGTTATGATATTTAATACTTAATTAGGCAATTAACGGGCAAACAGCATTATAGAAAAGTAATGACGATAATCGATAAGAAGATGCTTGACGTCAGGCAATAATACATTAAGGTAAATCTAACAAATTTATCATGTATACCTATCTACAAATGTTTTGCGTTTAATTAACATAGCATGCTTGCTATTAACGCCATTAAACCCATGACGTTGAAAAAGGTTGTTGACGTTCGACGATGAACCATCGAAAAACTTTCAACCCGATCGTAACATCGATTTGGAAAAATAAATAGAACGCAGCTGATTACACGATTCGCGCATTTTTCGCCAGTTAGTTACTTTTGCCTGAAAATAGTCAAGCACGTCATCCAGCCACTGTCAATGATTCGAATAAAATTGCGATCGAAAATAGCAAACATTTCGTTTGATCTTTCATATTTGACAAACCGAGGCAAATGGAATGGTAGTGGAAGAACTATGACGCGATATCAAATATGTATATGCCCACTGATTAATTTTTATTATCAAAAAATTCAAACGACTGAACGAGTAGTAGAAATTTAGTTTAGAACGAACCCTGCTTCGATGCTACTCCGATAATATCGCCAATGATCTACTGGTATTTTATCAAAGTACTTGTTCTTATCGAAACAAGCTATTTATCCAGTGGATGAGATCACGAAAAATATACGTCAACCAGAACGATTAGTCATCTCTCTTCAACGATTAAAACCGTATTCGTCTATGATAAACTTGGAAGTGGTCAATATACCACGCGCTTCGATTAAACTACCCCAATTTGGAAACATCTCCGATCCAGCAACCCCCTAATCATCCCCGAGTCTGAAAAGCCTGGTTCAAATCTTAACGCACTCACCTTCATCTTTCCACGTTCCTGAGACTCTTCCCGATCACGAGCTTCGTCTCTCCAGTTCCATAATCATCGAGCAACCGGAAAAGAGTCGCCTATCGAAGTGCACGTGCTACAGAAGCATGCCAGGAGTTCTATCCACCGAGTTCGTTCACAACACTTGGTCCATAAACGTGAAACTGAAACTCGCGCTACTACCGGCGATCCAGCCCTTTCGAGCGAGCCTTCGGGATCGGGATCGAAGCAAACCGAAGCAACGAGGAATAAAAAAAGGAGGTATCGTGGCTGAACTGGAAGATCGAAAAGGATCACAGAAAATACCCTGTCCAGATCCGTGGCCCGGGGAAGACTGGCATCCTCGATTCTGCCCCTTCCACGCGCTGCAATCGTCGCCTCGGTCGCTCACGCACACGGCCGTCCGCTTCTTTGCACAGCTTCCACGCTATGCACTCGCTGTTTCCGTATACGTGCACGGGCCAGACGACTCTGTGTGCACGCGGCAGGACACGCTGGTGGGGAATCGTGTTGCGTGACTCGACTCGGGGTTGTTCGTGACGCTAGGTGGCACAGAAACGACACTGTTCAGGACGAAGACCCCTGAAACGAGAACGAAGCTCCGCCCACCAGGCCACGCCCATGTTCCGTGCGCTCCTACGCGCCGCTGTAACCCCTGGTATCGTAAAGTTGCGAGGTCGCCGGAGTGGGGGAAATCGCGACTCTCTCCAAGCGAATCACACTCGAATGGAATTTCTGCGGGCAACGTGTTTCTCGTAGCCCAGCGTCGCTCTTCCTATTTCTTCTTCCTTTTTCTCTCTCCTTCTCTTCCTTTTTTTTCACCGATCGCGTCTCTCACTTTCTATTTCTTTCCCGTTTCTTTTGTCCCCGTCTTCGACCTCTTCTCGCGTTTCCTTGCACACCTTCCCGCGTACTTTTCATCCCTTTCGCCTCTTTTTCTTCGTTCCGGTCTGCCGGTTAGATTTGTTCCTTCTTCGGCTCTTCTCGTCGCCTCGTCTTCTCCTTTTTTCCATTCGCTACAGTCCACCCGATCTTCTTTCCTTCCTGTTCCTTATCGCTCGCGTGTTTTCGTCCTTTCGTGCATTCTCTTTGTCCCTGCTGCGGCCTTTATCTTGTTTTCTTTCACGCAGCCTTTTGATCGGTTTCAGAACCGATACCGAGGTTTATCTCCTCTTCGTTCGCTCTTTAATTCCTTCCTTTATTTTCCTTCGTTAATTACCTTTAATTAGTCGAGGTGTTGTAAATTTAAATACTTCATTTTCGTTAATATATTCTAGAAATAATTTATGCCGTATATGGGACAGCTGCTATCAATGGCCTCACGATCTTCTGAGATTCTTTGCTCGACGAGCAAGGCTGCGTTGAAAAATTAAGAGATAATAAATTCGATAAATCCGATGTTTTTAATAGTTTCGAAAATAAAATAGCTACGAAATAGATTTAACGTGTTTATTAGGCGATAATAATTTATGGATTCGAGTATGTATTCTTTTACTATCGCAATTTCGTGGAAAATAAATGAATCGTGAATCGACATTCAAATGAAGCAGGCATCGGTGTACTTGGTACGAATTCCTTATTATTATTTTATTGTTTGTTCTATGTCTCGATTATTCGTCTCGCACCCCTTTACTTCGATTATCGTGTCCACATTGCTAAAACTAAATATCGTATTTTATTTCTCATTCCGAGTAAATTACAAACCCAATTAAAGTTGAATAAAAATTTGTTTAATTGCTTTCATTACGCTTCTCAACGATAGTCCAACAAATATTTCATTTGCTCGCTTTGCATTTAAATATCGGGTAAAAATGTAAACGACAATCAAACGCAAAGTGGACGTTTAAAAAAATATGCTAAAGGATCGTAATTTGTTTATCATGGACATATTTGGTTAATTATTTACGATATTTGATTAGTCAGCATGCTTACAATTAAGAGCGTGCTTTTAAAAAATTCATAAATTGATATCGATTCGAACGATAAGTTCTCGAAACATACCTGATCGATGCTTGCTTAATTTCCTTCAACATTAACATTCGCGTGTGACGATTAGACGAATACGTTACTCAACGAAACGAACATTCCACAAGACGTTCGAAAAATTATCGATTATTCGCCAAGTCTTCTTTCGATTTCGAATATTCGCGATCGCCAATACGCTCCAAATGTCACGTATCGCTTAAATATACAAACCGTGAACCGAACCTTGAAATCGTGCGATTCCGAAAGAGAAAACAATAACTTTTTTTAATGAATTCGACAAAGGATAACGAATCGTGATACTTCAGATAAGAATTAATTGCATAATTCTGATTTTGTTTGTCTTTTCCGTTCGTATATTATGTTCGAATTTAAATGAGAAATTATAAAATACCATGGAGTAGCTTCAGTTACGATAAATCAGGCTTTAGTACGACATCGAATACGAGATACGGTTTAACCAAATTAAATATATAATTTTTTACAACCATTGTATAACTCTGACATAACCAGTTTCGATTCTCGTATTAAAGAAAGTTACATTTTAACTTTCTTTTTAATGCCTTGATCCAATGAATCTCAATTCGGGTATTCGTCAAAATTTTCGTATTGAAAATTTCTCGTGAAATTTGCAATTTCTAAATCGTATTTTCTCAAAAGATGGAACCAATCCAGAACCCTCGATAGATGTGGAATTAAAATAATTTTTCTCGGCTTATGAAGCTCGTCGACGGTAGGACGTTGGTACAAATGATCGATCGTTTCTCTGTACGTTACAAGCAACCCTTGACACTTCGAAAATTCGTGAATACTCACAGGAGACAGTGGGAATAAGCAGAATCCTAAAAAGTCCTCTGGAGCAAGGTCAAAAAGTGAGACTCGGTTGACCGTTTAGTTACGGTTTACCCCCAGACGGACACCATCCCCTTCCAGCATATTTACGCGTGGATATATATTTTATATTCCGTCGTTTCCTTTTTATTTTCGATGAGTTTGGGTTCTCGAGGGGGTTCGAGCACCTGTTTGTATTTCTGCTCCGCCGACACATAAATCATCCTGGAATGGACTAACGCCTTTTATCACTGCTATCCCTCTCCAACTGCTGTCTTTCTCTATCGGAACGATACTCGTGTGCGTGCGAACACACGCGTATAGACTCGCGTGCACGCGTGTTGGTTCCCGAGTATACGTTCACGGGGCCCTAGACGGACGACCCGTATACGCCCACGCCTAAGATGAATATGAATTTTTCGTTTCGGGACCCAGGAAAACTGTCAAACGGGTTTTTGGTCCTATCCTCCGTCTTTTTATTGCCACCCCAAACGGCGTGCGCGCGTGTGCACGCATCCGTGAAATCCAGTGTTTCTTGAATTATGCCCCGGCAGAGAAAAAGGGATGGACGAAAATGGGAGCCAGTACCTTTGGATTAGGTCCACCGTCCAATCGTTTGAAAATGAACTGATGTTCGGTAACGAGACTTTGATCGCGTGTTTATTTTGTCTCGCGATTGTTGCTCGATTCGGGGAACTGCTAACGAATCGTGACAGAGAAATTGGGACAAGATTTAAAATGGAATAGATACTAGAATAAGTCGAATTTTCGGTAAAAATTATTCTCCCATTTGTACTATTGTCCAAGTATTGTCCTACGTATTTTAAATTCGTATTGTAAATGATATAGAATTTTAAGTAGAATAGATATGCGTATCGTATTTACATCGCTATGACATACAAAGAAATTTTTAAATCGATTTATTACCGAAGTATTCGTTTCACGATGAACCTTAAGCGGAAAGTGAACAATTAAAAGGGTGGAATACCATTACTTCTTTTCATCGATTCATGCACGAAAGGAAAATATTCTTCTCTGGAGTCTATTTATAAAAGGGCTGACAAAAACCGAGGCCTTCGTTCTCATAACGTTTTCGATCAATGAAAACTTTCTTTCCTCGATGTCATTGTATCAAAAGCATTCGTAAACTAGCGAGAGACTCCGCTTCCATTTCGACTTTCATCGCGGTACGTGGGGTTTGCCTGAGAAAAAGTCTGCGTCGCCTGTTATTTCCCTCGTGAACGTGACTTCACGGCAAACGACAAAACCCTTGCATTCCGTGAGGATAGAAATTTCCTCGAGTGTGAAGTACGATTCACGGCAGAAAAGGAAAGGTGGAACACCTGCTGTGAAACTGCATGCAGATGTATTCCGTATTTCATATTCAGAATAGAATCCGTGGACCAATTTGACGACTATATTAAACGACGCGCGAAGAAATTTCATAATCGAAACACACTTCTTACACGTTCGAGGAAAATTTGAAACTCTCCTCTCGTTGTCGAACAAATTGTCGGTAACTATGTCTTACATTTTCCTTCAAACACGATCTTCCATTAAATACTCGAAGAGTCAATCCACCCCACCGAACTCAATGCACAACTGTAGATAGGAATGGACACCATTATCTTCTACGTTTTTTAACGGTTAACGCAATGGTATATTTGGACAAAAATATTTAAATAACGAAAACAACTCGTGATAAACTATTTTAAACCAAAAGATTGACTTGAGAGACGTGTAATGAAACTGTACTTATCCTGGAGCTCGTTGTTCTTACAATCATGACGCACTGAACACGCGATAATACTAATTTTTATCCAATATAGAATATAAAATGGTTGCGAATAGGCGAATAGATTATTTAGCCAAAATCCTGCAACGGAAAGGGTAGAAGTTCACTGGAGAAGAAGCCCGTTAACACGTTGAGCCTGGCGTCGGTCCCTGGGGACCGACAGTGGACTTTTCGTATAGACATCGTCGTCATAGTTAAAACACAAATGTAGTAATTTTAATGATATTTATTGAAACACTGTAAACAAAAATATGGTTTGGTTTTGCGTTACCAAATTATTATTATAAAGCGTGACGACTTTTTTAGTCAAATTTCTGGCTGCCTTGCGTCCGAATAGCGTTGAATTTTTGTCGTAACGTCGGAAAAGACAGCAAAAGACTGTGCCGGGCTGAACGCGTTAAAGGAATCAACAAAAACCGAATTCTCTCCATTTATC